AATAAAGTTCATGTGTTTGGCTTCATCCACACATTTACCTATGGAATTTAGTCCTTCAAATTCAAGGCCCAGATGGAAGTGGAGCAGCTTGCCTTGGTTGACCAGATGTTTGGTTGAATGGAATGGAATCATCCCTATCACCTCGTTCGGTGGCTTGGCCGTAAACTAGATTGAAATAAAGTTGGATTGTTGTTCAATTTAATTAGTTTAGTCGGAATATTTCATGAGTTCATCGAAGTATAGTTCAATTTAATAGAAATAATTTAGTTTAGATCAAGGAACCAAACGAATTCAGCCAAACCAAATAATAGAATTATTCCTATTCCTTCCTCCATTCTGATTACCATTTAACTCCATCCCAAATATCAAACATCACCTAAGTTCAATATCGCCTAACCCAAGCCCCAATTAGAGCTACACGGTTAGGCCCTAAGTATTATTATTACGCTATAATGAGGGGTTATAGGTGAGGGGGGGTTGTGGAGTGGAGGGGTTTAGGGTGAAAATTTAAGTTTTAAGATATTATTCAATCACTCATTACGGTCAAAAGAGAAAAATGTCAAGGGCCTTGCCCAATTTGCCATTTTGGTAGGCAAGGGAAATCAATTGCTTGTAGGCTCTGTTTGATTTATGGGAAAGCCGACTTGAGGATGAGAAATCAATTGCTTTCCTATGTTTGGTTAGTCCAGGCACATAAGAAATGGTTGCCTGACATATGAGAAAGTCGGAGGAAAAGTGAAGCCTTCCTCCTCCGCTTAGGTTTTGTTTTCCCTCTTCATGGGAAACTAATGTCATCATTAAATGCACTTTTTTTAATGACCAATTTGTCCTTAGTAATAATTTTTAATTACAATTTTATCCAACTGTTGGTATTTTTTTAAATTCATATTTCTTTAAATCATCTCAACAACATTCTATTTCTTATAACTCTTGTTTACACAGAAAAGGCAAAACTTCAATCGTACATAAGTTTTTGCATTCTCATCCTCAGAGCAACTTCAAATACAGTGGGTATTATATTTCTATTCATCACCCAGTATATATAGACAACTTTGGAATGTTAATGATGCTGTACTTTTTTTCTTTATGGATCTTATAATTCAAGGTTTATACCTTAAAGTGATTTTTCAAGTGATTGATCTTAAGTAATTACAAGATTATGTGTAAGATGTGAATTGTGTGATGTGCTTACAAGCTGTGTGATGATCATGTATTTGTCATATTGATTTGCCAAAGTTCATTATAGTTTTTTTCTTTTTCTTTTTGGGTTTGTTCAGTTACTGCACCCTTACCACCTTCTTTCATGTAACTCTACTTCCAGTACACTTTTTGCTTGATAGAACAGACGTGAACTAATCCAACACCAAGGCTAGAAACTGAAGTTTTGCATATTTTGACTATCAATAGGACGTTGGTGTAATATTTAATAATTCAATTGGAGAGGTTAATAAAATGAATAAATTTTTCATATTTTTAACAGGGGTACAATTGGGAAACTAAACAAAATTCGTTATTCCTACTCAAAACAAATATAATAAAGGAAATAAAGTGATATTTTTCGGTTACTTTCTCAGCATTACCAAACATGGGAAATGAATTATCATTTATCATCCTTTGAAAAATGACATGAGAAATAATTTCCCATCAAACTCGTTCTGTGAACCAAACGGGGCCGTAATGTTTGAATTGGCTAAGCATTTGGCTCTCCTCCTCTATCCAGACCAGACCAGACTAGAGTGACATTGATGTACTGACTTGCTTCTTATACTAATGAACTTATTTGACTTTCAAGACCCCAAAAAAGAATAAAAAGTCTTTCCTTAATAGCCATCAGCAAGCATCTCTTAAAACTTGTTTTTTGAGAAAATTGGTGCCGGGGGCCCATCCTTGACACAAATTTTATATCCACCCAGATGTTTTATCTCTAAATTTTAATGCTCTCTGACTCCAAAATAGGACATATCGTTCTTAAGTTCTTTGCTTTCTTTTAGTCTTGGTTTTAAATCAAAGTGGTAATCATTGAGTTTTGCGCATTTGGTGCACATGACATATTGCTAAAGATTAAACAGTAGTCACATGACCTAAGTGCTAATGTGGTTAAAAAAAAGTGATTTTGCACCCAAAAGAAGAAGTGGTTACATGGGTTAGGATTAGATAGATGCATGGCTCGATTCCTTCTAACGTAATTCAAAAAATCCAAAGATGCAACAAACGCATCAGTTGATACCATAACATTCATAACACTCAACACATCCGGTCTTTAAGAAAGATATGAACTACGAACAGAGAATTTCTGTATACGAATAATCTTGCTTTATCAATAGTGATCTAAATAGATCCATATGATATGATACATATTGTGAGAATGAGAATCTTTGTGTTCTTATTCTTTCCTTCTTTATAACCACACCGCACCTAGTTGTGGGCATCAATCCGGCCAAACCGATGAAACCGACAGACTCACACCCCCCCTCTTCCTCGTGCTCATGAATCCCTTTTGTCCCTTTCAACACACTTCAGGCACAGCCATTGATAAGTTACCTTTTTCATCTATTGGACCTAAATAGGTTGCCATGAGCGAGTCTATTCTCTTCCCGTTTAAACTCGGACGAAACAGAGTATGAATGGCCCCACTGACCCAGCAAATAAGGCATCTAAAATAAATGGCTTGACAAAATAGCAACCAGGAATTTAATGTTGTTTATGGACTTCACCATCACTAGGAACAGAAGAAACTGAAGCCATCTGCTGCCACGTGTCCAAAACTCAAAATACTAAAAGGATTTTTTTTGGGGGGGGGGGGGGGGGGTGTTTAAATGTCCTGAATGAGCTTTATATTCCAAGTAAGTCTGCTTCTAATCACAAGTTTACTCATGAATATACAAAAATAATAAAAAGTCAGAACTCAGCACCAATTGGCCCTGCAATCTTCAAATGGCCTCAAGATTGGATCAAAACCAGACAGGATTATTAAGGAGACAAAAAAAATGCAAACTCTAAAGACACTACATGCAAAGTGCAGCATCAGTTTAGTTTCTGATATCAACAAAAACTGACTTCAGTGAACCATTGCTATTTAATTTCGATCCCCAAATTAGAAAAAGAAGAAAACAGGTTATCCAAGATTGTGGGAGTTTCAAGAACTTTTGTCGTCCTTGTAGAACAAATCATGTTGTTCCAGTACGGAGTTCTAGCCAGCAACTCAAACATTAGGCAGCACAATGCTTAAGATTGCATAATATTGCTACCTGTTTACCTTTTCCATTTCCCTTGATCATATTACCTTCTAAATGAAGGCAAGCTTAGCTGCCACAGAAATATAAACATTTCTTCAGCTATTGAAACAATCCACAAACACCCAGGAGGCTTCGGCCCTAAAGAAAAACAGCAAAGGAAAACATTTGATTCTGAAGGTTTGATGAATTGTTATGATCTGAAACCTCTCACACTCAGACAAGTTTTTGTACCAATTTCTTGATACTTCAAGAAGCAGCTAGGCTGACTTCGATCCTGATTATAAAGCAGAAAATACATGTCAAATGCTGTATATATACTAATATAAGAAATATTAATACCAAGCCCTCACTAATCAGATCATTATGATCAGTAGAATGGTATATAAAATGTCCGGGAGCAACACACCTGCTTAATCAATGATGGAAAATGAAAGATTATGATTACGAGTGCCTTTACCATACTCTTTGTGACAAAAGGACCTTTAACAATGATTTGAAAACAGCACGACTAAACATACAAAGAACGTAAAAGAACTTGGACTTTAACCACCAGCCAGACTTTGATTATAAAGAAATAGAATCTAAAATGTCCTTAGAACTAGATAGAACAAGGCATAAACGAAAGGCTACAGAAAACTTCTGTTTCATAACAGTATCCAGTTGAGGATAGAATTATTTTGTTGAAAACAATAGAGCCAAAAGCCTATTTAAACACCAATTTCATGTGCCACCGATCAGGTTCCCTTCACATAAAACCAAATACAAAGGGAATTTGGAGGACAAAAGATGGGGAAAGAAAATAGAACAAAGGGTATCGAAAGACTTTCAGCCCTTTGCCGGTCTCCTTTAACTTGTTGGCTTTGTGATACAATTAAAGGTCCGCAGGTCTTAGGTTGGATGACTGGCACCCATTGGATCAGCTTATTGTCATTACCAGGCACAAAAAAAAAAAAAAAAAAAAAAAAAAAAAAAAAAAAAAAAAAAAAAAAGAAAGAAAGCCTTTCAACCCTTTGACTATTCTGACCTAGTAACAGCTAGCCAGCCAGCAAGACAGAAAAGGGTATGGCCAAGAATTTGCTCATGGTGTCAATTTTAATAGGAGACTAAACAGAGTGACAGAAATTTTGAACATCAGAAATTACCATCAGACTAACTGATATCTTCAGAAAAAGAATAGATCAGAGAGACTGATATCTATAGGAAGCAACCACACCTGATGAGCATTAACTAATTAATCTGACGTGGAGATACTAAAAGAGACCCTAATCATGAAGCACAACAATTTAAATTCATGCCATTGAAAAGGAACCACAAGAATCTAACTTCCTAATACAAGTGCAAAACCTATATGCATGCATAATAGGTACATCTATAAATTCCCACATGCCTAAATATTAGAGATCAAATCATTAGATGACTAAACAGTAAACGCAAACCTATATGTATAACCTATTTGCTAATCTGTAAGCAAAACTAGAAATAACTACAAGCATCAGCGTGAAACATGAAAAGAAAGTTAAAAGATGAAACATGCAGATGCAAGGTAACACTTCACATTCAACCTCATAAGGTTTGTCGGCTCAACGGAACTGAGGAGGTCTTCCAGAACAAGGAAGTATGCAGTCAATAAACCCTGTACCAAAATAGGGTTTGCAAACTATGTGAAACTCTGCCCCCCCGGGGCAAAAAAGATGTAGGGAAGTCTGTCAAACGTTGTAAATAATCAGAATCATTTATAGAAAATGAAAGAAAACAAAATGAATCTCCCACAAGCCTAACAGGCTAATACCATTAACAAGGTCTGAAATTGACTCTATATCATGTACATACATATATATATATATATATATATATATAACCTCCATCTTTACATATTGGAACTACATCAATGTAAAGCAACTAGATCGACCCTGCATCCTGCCCCCAATGAGCAATACAAAATGACCGAGAAAAAAAAAACTACAACTAAAAAAAGGGAAATTAGATAAATTTTCTCCTTTTTTCCTCTTATATTTTTTTGTTTTGCCTTCTATAGGGTAATTCCAATTCTTCTTTTGTAAAAATTCAGGGCATAATACCTCCGAATTGAGAGTTCCAAGCCGCAGGGGCAGCTGCCTTTTCCATTTACGAATTTTCATCAAAGTCACAATCTTCTGAGCACAAAAAAAATACAAATCTACCTCTGCAACAAAGACCCAATTACAATTAGCAAGAGAAATCTACAAAAAAGTAACCAAAGAAAAAACTTAGAATTTGTAGAAACAGAGAGAAAGAGAGACCTTAGAAGGAGAATCAGCAACCTTGTAAGCATCCACCGTAACACCCACCAACCACAACCCAGGAAAAGTAGTCTGCAAATTCATTCAAGTCACATATAAATTATAAAAAATAATAATTAAAAAAAACTTGCTAAACTCAACAACAAAACAAGCACAGCAGAAGCAGCAAACGAATAAACGAAGAAACAAAGAAAGGGAAGGAGCAAGGTGGACGTACATCGAGCTGTTTCTGAACATTCTTCGGCCGCTTCTTGGGCCTTCTGGCGGGCCTCGACCCAGTCATCACAAATATGTCCTCTTCAATCTCCTCCTTCGACAAAGCGATCCAGAACTTCCTCTTCTCCTTCTTCTCCACATTCTGCCCCTCCGCCGCCAAACCCCTCAACCTCATCGACTTCGGCTGCTGCAGCTCGCTCTGGTTCTGGTTCGGACTCTCCAGTTCGTGCGGTTCACTGTTGGCACCTCCCTTGGAAAACGACGTCGTCGCCGGAGCTCTCCTGGGCCTCAGATTCCAGGGCTTCTGAACTACCTCGGCTTTGTCAGCTTCCTCGCCCTCCTCCTGATCGCTCTCTCTCTCCTCGCTCCTGCGACGCTTGTCGCCAGCGCACGGGATCAAGGAGTAGCGGTGGCGGGAGACGCGGGAGGGTCCGAGCCCGCTGTTGTTGTAGTGGGTGCGTTCGGATTCGGAGTCGGGCTCGGAGGCGGGTTCGGCGGAGACGGGTCGGCGGTAGCGGTGGTTGTTGTTGGTGGTCGAGTTGTTCTTCGCCCCCCATTTCAAGAATGCGAGAGGGAAGTTGTGCAGCGGTGGCTTCACTGGTGCCGTCGCCATTACTGATCAACTCACAGAGCTCAAAGCCTTCAAAGTTCAAACCCAAAGCCTATGCATACACATCAAACCATATATGTATACATATATATAATATATATGTATATCAATTTTGTATGCTTGTGCTTCAAGCTTTTAGAGAGAGAAAGTGAACAAGAAGCGAGAGAGAGGGGTTGTGTGATGTGAGGGGAGGAAGTGGCTGGGAGACGGAGGCCTTTTTTGGGTTTTATATGTATACAGTAGGAAAACAGGAGAAGCAGGGACTTTGTTTTTTCCTACCTCCACGTCTACGGCGTTACGGTTGTGAATTTACTGTTTTAACCTTGGCCTTTTTTTCTTTGTTTCCGTTTGTGGGACCATTTAAAATCTGCTGTTCTGTATTGTACTATTTTGACCTCTTTGGGTACAATACCGGATGAGCATGATGGGTCTCTATAGTGGGCTCCACTGAGTGCTGTAATCGGAAGGTGGACGCGCGTAATTGAAGAAGAAGATGATGTACAGTATTTCTTGGTGTCGCTGGGTTTTCCGTGAGGTATTTTCCTCATGTCTTTTGGTTTTTGGGAAAAAAGAAGAAGAGGGAGGCAATGATGGTTAGATTTTAAATGGGCAAATACGTAGAAGTTCATAATCCAAAATAAAAAAATTCAATTAAAAAAAACCTATTGACACTTGTGTTTTGATCGAGAAGATACTATTATCCAAAGCATAGAATATGCAAAATATGTAGGTTTAGGGAGGTGTGAAACGGAAGGGCTGACCCAGAATGACATGAACTCAATCCGTTTAAATGGGGCACGACATGATACGAGCACGAATATTAATGAGCTGGACTTGACACAGAACGAAAATTTGGGTCGTGCCGTGATGAGAAAATTAGGTCTAATGGACCGAGTCAACCCACAACCCAACACGGGCCATGCTTGGCTCGAGTCCGCTTCTAGCCCGGCAGGAATGTGGCATGGCCCATATGACTTGTCAAACCCACTTATGTCTCTTTTTAACGACTTGGAAAACACACGAGCCCATTGATATCAAACCCACTCATCTTCTTCTCGATAAAAACAACAACGCAGAAGAAGGCGTCTCTTTTCCATTTGCTCTAGAATCTCGTTTTGTAGATTAGTGGTTTCTCGGTAAATTCGAGAAAGGTCATATCATGGAAGCGGAGTTATGGGGCTTATTCTTTGGATTGTAGCTCGTTGTGAATACCAGAATTTCAAATATTTTGATTGAAATGGACTTTGCGTTGGTTGTGAATTTTATTAAGAATCCTGAGGCAGCTGGTGCTCATCCTCATGTCGGTCTATTTTATGGCTAGTGGGATTTAATGAAGAACTAGTGTTATTTAGCATGTGTATAGATAAAGAAATTATGTGGCTGAGAGGCTTGCGAATGGCAACTATAATATGAACTTAGGCCAACAATGGTTTGACTCTGCGCCTCTGTGAGTAGTAGAGGCCTTGGCGGATGATTTGTTAAGGGTCTCCAAACTTTTTTTTTTTTTGATTAAGAAAGGGGGCAAAGCCCCAAAGAACAGACTACACAACCTGGTCTAAACAGACCAGTCTAGAATGAACAATTCCAAGCAGATCATCAACAAGATAATCACTTAACCAACTAGGAGCCTGCTCAAACACGCATAGCCCAAGATCCACTTGATAACTCCAATTCGCTAACCGGTCAGCAACAATATTCTTCTCACGAAAAACATGTTGAAGAGCACACCTGGGAACCTGCTGCATAAGGTCACAGCAGTTCCTAACCAAAGTAGCTAAAGGGTGCAAAGAAAGCATGGAAGAAATCTGACAGAGATTGACTGCAATAGCTGAGTCCATCTCAATAATGAGACTACTGATGCCTTTCTCAATTGCTAACTTCAAACCAAAAAAAAGACCCCATATCTCAGCCTCAAGAACTTGACCTTTTCC